AGTCATAATAATAAATCAGCTAAGCAACCTCTTTGCATTCGAAGACAGAATGTACCTCCATTGATCACTGGATGTCACTGCGCTAATATACTCTTGTAATTGTAAACTTTTTTTATTATTAATTGGTTTATCTAAATATATCTAATAGATACTTCATATATTCTTCAAAGACTCTAAGTTTCTCGTAAATAGAATCATTAAACTGTCAAACACCAAGCGGTCACCGGTGACCGCAACCTATTGTTCTATAATTGTGTCTACAAAACCGGTACTCGACGAGTTAAACATATTCCTAGACAGCTGTGCTCTTCAATGACGTGGAACACAGACGTTGGACTCCTGACGTCTACCCAGATAAGAAGGTTACACAACACGTATGGATTTTTACGCAAAGATGACGTCGACGTCGTCTGAGGCGTAACTCTGGCTTTTGGCTCTCAGCCAACGTGACTGACACACTGGCTCAATTCAACCAACAACAATGTTTTATAATCTAAATGGTAACAACTAGATGTCACGAACTAAGGATTAACGTTACAAGAAAAGAAATGGTAGTTAAGAATTTTCGGTGTTCATTTGTTAACGTGTTTCTTTATTATTTAAAGATATTGTAGAGGTATTATTTAAAGAAAAATAATACCTCTACAATATCTATGGTAAACAGGTGCTTATCTGAATCTTAATTTTTAGTCTGAAATAATATAATTATTAAACGAGATCTCAATTGATTGTACGACGCCCACCGCATCGCGTATTCTGCTCATAATTGTGGACTATAGGCATGGCTCGAAACCAGTCGAGTGATTTTTTCATCATCGTTAGAAATCTGGAAATTTTTATAAAAAAAATATTTAAATCAATTGCAAAAATCTGATCGGAAGTCACACATAATACTTTTATTCGTTACGCATAAAATACGATTGCTAATAAATAGTCCATAAAAATGTTTTAAACACCTACACACATACTTAAAACATAGGCTAGGATGTCAGTAGCAGACGATGCTGTTTAGTATCATTATAATTGGAAACACGAGAAAATCTATATATATAATAATCGACTTTTTATCCCAATAAGTAGTTCCACGGGGAAAATTCCACCACCAATTTTTTGAAATTCGGATCTCCTTGAACAGACCGATCCAATTTAAAAAGAACTAATACAAACCCCGATAGGGTATACAGAGTTGTTTATTTTTAGGTATACTACTAGTTTTCATTTATGTTATTAATAAAAGAAGCTGGGGGTTTCGAAAGAAACTCTTCTTTGCGGCTTTGCAAAAGCACCTTCCGAAAAATCCACCCCAAGCCAGGAATAGAAATCCCTTGAAAGGCTGGGAGTATTCCCATATGCACCTAGACCACCTATTTCGTATGCAAACACAAACAATATTCAACCAAAGATATACATATGTGTTCAAACGGTACACATGCTCTAAAACAGCATGCTGAAATGCGTTTTATAGAGCATGCTCAAAAAAGTGCAAAAGTCGAACGCCTATCGTTTCACAAGTATGCCCGAATGAGCTACCTAATTTTGAACAACACACATGCTACTAAGTGACAAGTGCAGGTGATCAATTGAAGCATACTCTTGTGCTTGAAATTAGCATGTGTAACAGTAGGTACCACAGATTATTAATATTTCTGTGAACAGTACCTCAATACTTCCTCTAACACGGTCGTTGGTCATTTGTTTTTGACAACTAAAACAGTAACTAGACGACCTGTCGTTACACTTATTTCCACACTCATTTAAAGTGATTACCTCGTGACAAATTGATATACATTTAAATAGGTACTTAGACAATCCTGTTGACAACTAGATGCTAACGCACGGAACGGAATGGCTTTCAACACATCGTGATTCGTGAACATTTCATGGGTACTTATGTTTAAATGTAATTAATTGTACTTGCTTTTCCCGGTAATTTTGACATTTGTTTTTATTTACTGACTGACAGACGGACGGACAATTCAATTTTTGACGTTTCAAAAGTGCCTATTTAAGGATTAATTGAAATAAATGCTTTGACTTCGACTATTGAAAGATCAACGTGAACATTAGATTGAAGATTGTATAACGTAAAAATAAGTTGCATTGGGAGTTTTTATGGGGAAAACGAGTTCAATTTTCCTGGCCACCGTTTGCGGAATACCTAGCGTAAATATTGAACATATTTGGAAAGGTTCAAAATTGAATTCATTTAGATATCAAAATAGACATATTTCTGAAAGAAACAATATATGTGTAGGTATAATAAATGGCGGGGTAACACAAATTAGCAAGTAACACAGGTTTACACTCAACAATATTCTCGCGGGCAGAGGGTCGAAGTCGATGCGTACCTACACAGGCACAGACGAAGCGTTAATTATCAAGCACCCATTATATTACACTAGCTACTCCCGCGCAGTTTCACACGCTCTGCTCACCTCTTATTGGACGTGACGTGATATTTTATAGCCTTCCTCGATAAATGGGCTATCTAACACAGAAAGAATTTTTCAAATCGGACCAGTAGTTTCGGAGATTAGCGCGTTCAAATAAACAAACAAAAATCAAACTCTTCAGCTTTATAATATTAGTATACATTTCCATTTCTATGGAAATCAACTAAACATTAACACCACTACCTTAAAAAAACCATTGAAGTATCACTAAATCTAAAACAAACTAGAAAGTAGGTACATCATAGATATTTCAAGGCTTCTTTAAGTTATCTCTTTGTCTAGAAACACGTTTTGGACTCTGGCAATTTCAAAGCACATTAAACACACAACTATTTTTAAAAATTCAATAAAAAGACCTGAACTTAACATTATTAAGTGTAAAAAGTTTTAAATAATTAAAGCTTTTAGGCTAACCGGTAAAACATATTTATGGGAATCACGTAAATAAGATGAAAAACGCGAGAAGAAAGCTCGAGAGTGTGCGTCATTAAAAGAAAAATTCTTAACAGGAAAAACTATAATAAGCTGATTCACCTCCTGATGATCATTTAGAGAAAATCACAACTTATTTTTATAAAGTGACCAATTTTTCACGGAAGGATGTGCAATACGTGCATTCATTAAATTCATACAGCATTGCCCACAATTTTCACTCATGGCAAAGCACACACAGGCTGTATGTTCAATAAAAAACCTATTCCAATGAAAGGCTGCCATGAGGGGTGCGGTAAATCGTCATTATGCACGACGCCGGACTTTTACCACAGAAAACATACAAAGTGACGCGAATAACGATCGAAGACGCTTTGTAGGTGACACTCGCTATGTTCCCTCATAATATTACATGCCTATTGAATATTCTTACGTTAGCTGTTCGGTGCTGGCAGGTGAATCACGTCCATCGTCCCGTACATCGGCCACCCCATGAGCACCACTCATGCAATAAACAATAACTCACTGTGTACACAAAAGAATTCACTATTCACACCCGTAGATCGGACACTATAACATTTTATACGAACGATATATTGAAATAATAAATACGTGTTGTGAGAATGTGATTATCCGGTTGTTTTATGAGACGAGGCGCGCTCCCCGAGCGTTCGCCATGTTGATTTGGAAGGGCGATTCGCGCGCGCGCCAAATGCAATCCAGTGCTGCCATACTTTGAATTTTCCACTTCATTAAGGGAGTTCGTTGTTATTTTTCAAGTCTTTTAAATTCGTGCTTGTTGTAAAATTGACATACTTTTCTGCACTTTTAAAATATTACGTACGATGAATTATTAGATATAGTAATGAGCCTAAACATTTACCTATTACCACAATAGACCGACTTGGCTCGAAGACACCTTTAAAAAATCTAAATAAGTACGTTAATGATATCTCAAAAATACATACTTATTATATATACAATTAATATTAACTATAACTAAATGAAAATATATACAACTTAAAATATAAATAACTATGAACTAAAATATTTACACCTTAAAAAAAGGTAATAATAAATAAATAAGCTATAATAAGGCATCAAAAAAAAAATTTTCCTCATCATTATCTCAAAAAGAACTTATAGTCTACTTAGTATAATTTAGTTCTATAAATCTGTAATGACACATATTTTTAGATTTAGTTTAAAATTTAAATACCAACATTTAAATCTAATTATTGTACACAACATTCTTTATTAACCAGGTGGCTAATAATCACTTAAAAATGGATAAAAATAATAAAGACAATAAAGTCATTACACAAGATCAAAATATTAACAAACATGTATCTGACTCCTTTCCTTTTAAAAAAAATATTTTTATGGGAAAATAGGTCACTAACGTGGCAACCCTTTTACGCATGCGCGGTAGTCCGCCACTGCAATACGACGCTGTAGCACCATGCGCCTATTTTTATTTCCGTGAGATTTGTCGCTAGTCCACGCGACCGGCTACTCGCACCTGCCTTAATAACTACTACCACATCATATCTAATACAAAAACCATGAAAAATAACTTAAAACACTCATATTTGGAGAAAAAGAAATATATTAGACTTTGTTATTTGAAATTCAACCTTATTTACATCTAGTTTTGAGTTAAATTGTCAAATTTTCGCTTTCGTAGTAGCTACAGGCGTTAGAATCGATCAGAACCGGTGCCGACAAGTGTTTAATGTAAGGTTAGGGTGCCTAAAATGTGCCAACTCGACGATTTTCAAATTTAGAACATGGAAGAAAATATTAAGCACTTTAGAACACCTACCTAAATATTAAACGTACCTCAGAGTACGTAAAACGAAAAAGATACTGGCCACAAATTAATTGACATTATTGATTAATACCTACTTATAAAACTGCATATACCTACTTCCTACTTAAAAACTAGACAAAATAGGTTACTAAACTAGAACAATGACCTGTAGTGACCTCTTTGTGGTCATCTCTACAGTTATGTTTGACTAGCTACTACCAGCGGCTTCACCCGCATTTTTAGAACAAAGTAACCTATATCTATACAGTCAGCTGTTCGCTGCCGTAAGCGACACCCGCGTTATGACCTCTTTGCGTTCTCCGCCCGGCGCGCGCGCATTGAATGCAATTAATAATACCGCGTCGAACATATGTGCACGATGTAACAAAATTATTATTAATGAACTGTCGGCTTTCATTAGCCACAAGGTTGATACCTTACCTGAGACCGGGATCACCAAAATATGTTTGAGTGCGTTCAATTCGGATGATATTGAAAACTCAAGGGCAATCACGTACGCCAATCTTGCACCAACTAAGAAATTTCTAAGGAGAAAGGAAGGATCTGAACAGAAGAGCCTTCAAGAAATTATTAAGATTATCAAAGAAGCCGATCCAGAAATTCTACCGACGTTTGTAGCTCATAATCTTAATAAACTTCCCCCCGTATCGTTTGACTATATTGATATAACGACATTCCTTAAGGAATTAACTATACTTAAAAATGACGTGGCCTACATTAAGTCCAAGCCAGATATTGACAACAAAAATGTAGATGTAAGCTCGGATATAAATCTACTGAAATCTGAGATCAAGGAATTAAAAACCTTAATTCGTGGGCTGCGCGAGGCTCACGCTGCAAGTGATGGAAAGCATATGGACCACCTATCTCTTAGACCTTATCATAGTGATAAAGACACAAGAAATACGCTGAATAATGTACAAACCACTACTAACTTCGTCACAGGTGCGAGTGAGTCTCGTTTCGATGCAATTGAGGGTGGTTCGGATATAAATGCGGCTATTGTGAGCGAGCGGCATGGAGGGCCGCTTGATACCTGCGTAATAACGAGTGCACGCGCACTGACTCGGACCGGCTCCGCGCGCGCGCGGCGTCCCCTTGTGCCTGCGCCTGCGTTATCTACTCATCAGCTGACGGCGGGCACCGAGACAAAATCAACACATGTACTATCTTATAGAGATATCGCTAGTGCACCTCCGATCGAGGCGCACGTAAACAATGATGACGATGGGTTTACACTTGTTTCCCGGAAAAAAACAATGCCGTACAAGTACAAGAACACTAGAGGTACTCTTCAGAGTTCGAAGTTGCTGGCTGCGGATGCATATGCGTATGTCTATATTTCACGAACGCACAAAAGTACTACTGTAGAAGATATTAAGGAACACATACAAGACCTAAAGGAGGAATGTATAGACGTGGAAAAGCTGACACAAACAAGAGAGACAAATTTTAGTTCCTTTAAAGTTAAAATTTTGTCTACAAAGTTGAATTCATTTTTAAGAAATGACTTCTGGCCGCAGGGTTTCGTATTTAGAAGATATAGACAATCGCGTTCTATTAGGAATGATACAGCTGCCTCTAATTTTACTAATGGATAGTATAAAAACCCCGCGCGAAAAAAATATAAAACTAGTTTCTTTTAACTGTCATGCAATCAAGAGCTGTCTTCCTGCCGTGAGCGATATCTGCAGATCTGCAGATATAATATGTATACAAGAACATTGGTTGATGCCGCATGATCTGGGCATCATCAACAAAATTGATAAGGAATTCAGCTGCTGCAGCAAGTCTTCGGTGGACCCCACGGTGTTGCTACGCGGGCGCCCTTATGGAGGGACGGCGCTTATGTGGCGAACAGACTTGTTTACGCGAACTGACGTCATTCCATGCAAAAGTGATCGCGTTATTGCCGTGCGCTTATCGCAGGGTGATCGAAGTCTCCTGGTGTTTTGTGTTTATATGCCAACTGACGACTTAGAAAATCTACCAGAATTTACAGACTGCTTAGCGCAGATAAGTGCGGTGATCGAGTGCGCTGAAGTCGAGTGTGTCCTTGTGCTGGGTGATTTTAACGCGCAC